AAACGTCCCACCCCCCGTTTCGCTATACATCACCTAGGAAACTCCCGTGCGAATTTCATTTATTTATGGGAGGAGCATACGTTGCTTAGCAATAAAGTTATTGGATATTATTAATTGAAGGCGTGGTGAGTGCGAAGGGAGGAGTTGTCTCACAACAACAACAACGAAAAGAAAGAAAACTATAATAAATGCATCCATGAACGGTCACAACGAACGTGTGTTTCTCATCGCTGTCTCATCATCAATTCAATAAGTTCACTATATTTATATATATATATATACTTTTTTTTTTTAAATATAATATAACAATTTGAAGCAAAAATTCATCAAACTTCGTCTTCGTATTCAAAAATTTCACCTAAAGATAGTTAAGAGAATGATAGAGATAGAGAAAGAGCTAAAGATTTAAATGTCTTTCATTTGAAAAAAACTCATCATCGTCTTAGCGAGATGCGTCTTTGAATTGAATTGAATTGAAAAATCGCTATCTACCTAAGATTCAATTTGATCCCAATGATACGAAAGTGTCTAAACTAAATCAACAATTTTCGAACTTACTCCCTAAAATGACGTCGGAATCGAGAGGATTCGGATCTCTGCCTTATCTTGCGTGTGTGTCTTTTGTTCGTGTAACATGATTGAAACAGTTTAGAAATAGGCGGCGGCGCACAAACAACATCATCGAAACAAATGTAAACGAAATATAAATAAATAACGATAATCGAAGTGTGTGTGTGAATGAAGCGAGTGAATCACTATTGTTTTTAAAGTTTATCATCATCATCAAGTATTTAATACCACCTAAACTTGTATATAATAATAATAATTAATCAATACATATATATAATATATTCGTTGCATATAATGTTTTTTTTTTCTTCTTCCTTAACATGATAATAATTATTCATCATCATCATCACCATTACAATACTAATAATAATAAAAAATAAAGTCGATCACAATTGCAGTTCGTATAGTGAACACTATAAAGCGTGGAATGTAGTAAATAAAACGGAATGTTTGTAGAAACAAGATGAAAATCAGTTGGTCGATGCATAAAACAAAACAAAACGCGAAACACGTAACAGTATTCAATTTTTTTGTTTCTTCTATACAACATTAATAACCTCATATATTTATATATAAAATCTAAAATCTTTTCAACGATGCGTTCGTTCCATTAAATCCTGATATGCTATTCGAATTACCGCGATGTATCTATTTATTTTTTATATATGTGTGTGTGGGTGTGAAATTAACTAAAACTCAAATCTATGGAGGCGTGGTTCAACGCTAGCCACGCCCCCTTTCTTTTACTTCTACTTCTCAAGTAGGCGGAGAGAGTCGCGAAAAAACAAACGAAATACAAATTAGCGTCAAACAATCATCAGTCTTCAATTATATTTTTTTTTTGTTCTTCGTCATCGTCATGATCATCATCGACACACATAAAACAACAAATCAGCAGCGTGAATCGAAGCAATTTCGATGATTCTACTCATTTCGTCATCATCATCGTAATAAGCTAAGTAAGCGAAGATTGTATTCATCATCATCATCAATAATAATAATATGTACATATTGTTTTACCCTCTCACGTTTTTTTTTGTTTTATATCGTCGTCAGCATCTTCGATCGTTTCATAGAGAGCTTTCGTTAATAATTATATAATAATATTGTCCGCAAAGTTGGGCACTTAAAAAACAGTCGATCCACGTCGGAGGGCGAAAGCGCACCTACTCTTTGGCGATCGGCGTATCGCGAGTGCACTTAAAGACTACGGGAAAAGAAAAAAAAACAACAAACACACGTTAAGTACACTTTAGAAAAGTTTAGTTAATTTCGAGTGGGAGGAGAGTTTTGTTTTCTTGAATCAAGGCAATATGTGATTAGTATGAGAAATGCAAACAACAACTGTTTTCTTTTTTGTCAATTTTTTGAAAGTGCACTTAAATCAACACCTAAATGTAATTAAAAGTTAAGTTTACTTTAGCTTTCTTTGTTTTATAGATTTTTAAAAATAGGGCAGTTTAAACAATGAGCTATCAACTTAAGTTCACTTATTTTCGTTGGAAGAAATGAAGTGTTTTGATTGGTGGAAGTAACATAATCGTTGTATCTAATCGAACTTGTTATTCGAATACATTTGAACTATTTGAAGGTTTTTTAGATTTTGGGAGAGACCGGTTTAGGAATAGTTCAAATATAAGCGAATGGTAAAGTTTAGTTGTTTTTTTGTTGTTAAATTAAGACTAACTTAAAGATATTATCACTGCTTGTGTACAAGACTTAAGACTAGAATCAAGTGCACGTGGGGTACGCCGCGCGCTTCATCCATCCTCCTTTTCCACAAAAAAATTACCAGTTATTCATATATTTCGTTTGAACGAGCCGAAGGAAATACCTGAGAGTGAGTGTGTGTGATCAATTGTGAAATAGGCGTAACAACAACGTTCAGCCCCCGTTTTTCTTTTTTCTCCTGGTCGCTGCTCCGCCTCCGCGTGCTCCCGCCCACCGCTCAATCTGACATTACATGAGGTCGCATTTGTCTTTGGCGACGCGACTGGTGGCCTTCCCTCCGACTTGCAGGCTGACGTTCCGCGACTTTTCGAGATTCAGCAGCTCCTGGAAGAGCAGCTTCACGTTGTGGTTCGTCTTCGCCGAGGTCTCCATGAAGCTGACGCCCCAATTTTGCGCTTGGCTCTGCCCCTCGGACGTGCTCACCTATAATCATCGTGAAGGCGTGATTAGCATACGTAAGCCACTCCCACACACACAATAATTCGCTCACCTCGCGCAGTTCGGCACTCTCGTCGCACTTATTGCCGACCAGCATGATCGGAATCGGCGTCAGATCTGGACCTTTCACCTCTTTGATCACCTCCCAGATGGGCCTCAGCTCTTCCAGGCTCTGTCTGCTCGACACAGAATACACCAGGATGAAGGCATGCCCCTTGCTTATGGACAACCTCTGCATTGCAGGGAACTGGTGCGAACCAGTTGTGTCCGTTATCTGCAGGGTGCATATATTCTTGTTGCAGCTGATCACCTGCAAATTTCACATTCTTAAATACTTGTTACATTTATAAAATTGAGAGCACCGACCTGTCTGTAGGTGTCCTCTATTGTGGGTATGTAGCTCTCCCTGAACGTCCCCTTGACAAACCTGAGCACGAGGGAGCTCTTACCCACACCGCCAGCCCCAAACACGACCACCCTGTAATCGTTGCTCTGCTCAGGCATCCTCCCGAATCCCTCCAGGGCTCAAGACTTCTCAAGACACCTACAGGATTATCATCGGGCCCAGATTCCCTGAGCCATGGCTGCTACAACAGCAGCAGCAGCAGCAATAACAACAAAACCAAGCTGAGAATCACAGCAACTCCATCTCACCACCAACCTCTTTCTTGTTATTGTTGATATCACTGTTTACTTCTTCCACTTTTTCTCTCTCACTCTGCAAAGGAAATCGGTGACGAGGGAAAAAAAAAACTATGCGTATTGCAACAAAATAGCCTTTTAAAACAATGACGTCACTTTGGGGGAAAAGTGGCCAAAAAAAAAATTCGTATTGATTGGCCGCCGGTTTTCCCGGGGGCCGCGCAGCGACATCTCATTGGCGCGTGGGCGGTTCACTTCCGCTCGCCGACAGATGTCGCCCACGCCCACAGCTGCAACGAAAGTTACATAACACAACCTGAGGAATTTTAAACTTGAGAGGGTTCGCTAATTACTAATTGTGTTTTCGGTCATTATCCGGATTCGCCGATGAAAGACGTTTCGCCTTTTGCTCATCAGCGAATCGTTTATTTAATACATAAATACATAAAAATAATAAAATTAAGTAATTAAAAAAAAACAAGAAAAGAAGCAAAGTTTTAATACTCATCCACAATTCCATCGCCTGCTCCTTGCTCTGTACTCGATCGCTTTTTCACTTGTTCAACAACAGTCCGTTCGTCTTTCCTTTCAATCGATTTGACAACCTTCTCTTCATCTTCGTTTCCCTTAATCGCTTTCCTTTTGTTTTTGGCGGATTTCTCTTCATTTTCCTTTCCCTTAATCGCTTTTCCTTTATTTTTGGCAGATTTCTTTTGTTTAAGCATCATTGATTCTTCGTTTTCCAGCTCAGGGAATTTAACTTCGACGATCTGAGGTCGCAAAGATGTCTCATCTTTCACAGCTTTTGTCCCCTCCGAATGGAAACTGAAGAGTAGCGATTTGAGCGCAAACGATTTGCCGGTGATCAACGAAACGATTGTGCACACGAACATGATGGCAAAATAAAACACGACCGGCACCAGAAGCATTTGAAACCAACTCAGATTTCCTGTAAGAAAATATAAAAATTAATAATAATGTAAAAAACTAAATACATTATATCAGTGGTTTCCAAACTTGATGTTACTACGCCTCTCTCAAAAGTATGTAATCATTTGGCGCCTCCCCACACCCCTCCATTTCAAATTTGAACGCGTATTACAGTAATATGGATAAGAGCACAGTAATATATCGATACTTGCGAGATTCCCCAAACATTCAGCTTTCATATGCATCTCTTGGATTTATTCTATGTATTATAGTTTTCGAGAAAATCAATGA